AATCTATGTCAAAGAAGGGCGAACCATCTCCCTGTCTTAAGATCCGACTAGCAACCAACAACCAATCCCAATACGGAAGTTGTCGCCAGCTGAATTGCAAGATCGAACAAGGAGGGGGCTTCGTTATGATTGCAATGAAAAGTTCAAACTGGATCATCGTTGCAAGAAAATTGCCATTGAAGAGTGCTTGGAATATGAAGATTGAAATGTGATCACTGAAGAGGATGAAGAGATGAATGATACCTGAAATTTCTCTCCATGGTATTGGTGGACTTCGAGTAAGAAATAGGCCCTATTCCTCTCCAGTCCTAGTGAAGAAAAATAAGGATCATGGTGTATGTGCATCGATTATCGGGAGTTAAACAGGATTACAATTAAAGAAAAACTTTCCTATTACCATAATTGATGAGTTATTGTATGAGCTACATGGCTCGATAATATTTTTCAAGCTTGATTTATGTTTCGGCTACCACCAAATAAGAATGCATCCTAGTGATGTAGAGAAATCTGCATTTTGCACTCATCAAGGCCATTATGAATTTTTGGTCATGCCTTTTGGCCACACAAATGCCTTGTCTACATTCCAAGCACTAAAGAATGAGGTATCCAAAAAATTCCTACTGACGTTATTAAGCATTGGCGTGAAATCCTTGTAATTTAGAGACTACGTTTTCCACTCTAAAGACTAACCATTTGGCCATTATGCTTGGAAAATATCAGTTTGGCCAAGGTGAGGTTCAATACTTGGGCCATGTTATTTCTAGTCAGGGTGTTGCTATTGATTCTAATAAGATTTCAAAATGGTGGACTGGGCAAAGCCTAAGATAGTCAAAGCTCTTGGAGGATTTTTGGGTCTATCGGGGTACTACAGAAATTTCATCAAAGACTTGGGAAAAATAGTCACTCCCTGTACAAAATTGTTGAAAAAAGTGTTTGGTTGTGACTCAAATTCCATGTGATTTGAAATTTAGAGTGCGTTTAATTACTAATATTTTTCATGGAAAATGTGTTTTTCCACCTAAATTCCTATTTTTGCACTGTTTGATTGACATTTTTTTCAATAGAAAACGTTTTCCTACTTTTGGTCACGTGACCATATTTTCCTCAAAATCAAGGAAAATATTCTCTTTAGGAAGAGTGGGATTTTATTTTTCAGGTAATTCACTCTCTCTCATCTATCCACCAATAAAAATATAGACAAATATAATATTTTCTATGTTGAAAAATAAATAAATCAAATACATTTAATTGACAATTTTCATACAAATAAATTCTAGGAAATTGAACTGTCTAAAATTTTTTTCCTTCCCATGCAAATTTCATGCTTGTAATCAAACACACCTAAGTTCATGGAGGAATTTTAGATAATTTGGGTTTAGAAGTTTTAATAAATAAGAGATCAAATTTCATCATGCATTGAGAGTTTGATTTGGATAACGACTTTGAGAATAAGAACTCTACTTCATCTATAACTCCAAGATTTGACTCCTTTAAATACTCCACAAGGTATAGGCTCTTCATAAATTCAGGATAACAATTAGATCATTGTTGTACACAATTAAAAACTTGAGAGTATTGTTTAGATTTAAATTGAGAGAATTAAATCTTGTAAAGATAATTTTAGTTTCTAGGTATAATAAATTCTCATCATGTTCCACAAAAATCTTCCTTGTTGTGTGATCTATTATTTTTCATATTTTTCATATTTTCTTGTTCTTTAATTATTTGGTTGGATTCTCAATAAATTGGTACCAAAGTTATTCCACTTTCAACAAAATAGTTTCACTTCGGATTATCACAAAAATATTCCTTTTTATGGAACCCACTTGCAGAAAGTATATTTGAGCAACTCAACTTGGCAATGACTAGAACTCCAGTTTTGACAATTCCAAAATTTTCGAATGATTCCACTGTATAGTGTGATTCATTCGGCTCAGGAGATGGGGTGTTTTGAGGCAACACAGATCTATTGCATTCTATAGCATCGCATTTCAATTAAAAAAATCTTTCACTATCTACTTATGAAAAAGAAATATTAGCTCTTGTTTAGTCATGGATGCAGATGTTTTGAGTTAGGGAAAATAATCAAACTTTCTAATCGAACAAGTTGATAAAGCAAAAAATAGAGTATCTTCTTAGCCATAATCCTTACAGAGAATGATAAACATTAAACACAAATGCTTCGGATCAGATATTTACTGACCTGCTGTGAGTATGTAGACAGCATTTAAACTCTATGTAAACTAAGATGAAAGAAAGAGAATAGATGAAAAGAAAGCGAATGAAGTGAAATCCGAGGCAAGTGATTAGCACTTATTTCTTAAGGAAAAATTACCCCCCCAACGATGTTAACAAATTGCTGCACTTGTCTCCTAAGATACAGCGGATACAATTTGTGGTAGAAGCACTTCAACTACAAGCAACAACGAACTCGAATAAAATTCTTCCTTCAACAAGAAAATGATTTTTGGAGAGTTTTTGCAAGAATTTTTTAAATAATGCTCAATGCAAAATGATACGGGATGCATAATGGACATCCAAGGGGTCATTATTTATAGAAGATGATAGGTTGTCAGTTAAGAAGACGCCCCTAAAACTCAGCAACCTTCAAGAAGGGGCGCATCCCTTGCTGTCCTAGCCTATTGCTAACTTCTCGATCGAATGCCAGCAACATATTTTCTATAGAAACTTTTCGCCTACCTGTCGCTCGAGCGCTGGGCAAGCAATAGAGTTTGGTAAATTTCCCGACCAGTTTTTCTTCTTTTCTTTCTAACTTTGGACTGCAATTTTTCATTCATTCGAATTGGTTTAGAGATACTAAATATATTACGACGATCTACTCGACGAGTAGAACAAGTTTATTTCCTTTTCGTCTTCCCATTCTTACTTCTGTAGGTTTTTCGGTAATAGGGATATCCGCAAAAACTCATATTTTCCGCATTCGGCACTAGCTATTTTTGCACCTTCCCAAGGGGATCTTTGATCCGTTCTTTCAAACCAACAAAAAGATATTGAAGAAGCTTATGCGAGATGGAGAAAGTGTTTAAGAAGAGGTATTTGTAGGCAGAGAGCTTCAGTTTATCCTTGACATCTTCGTCTTGTCCAAGCATGAATTAGTCTATTTCTATTTATAATTTGACTATCGGATCAAAGTCTAAATATTTGATCGAAATTGACGCAAAGTCATTTTTCATTTTTTATACTTGTGGTGGGTCGTTTGTCAATATATGCTCATTTCATTTCCATTTCTCATCCCTTTTCAGCAGTAAGTATTGCTCAAATATTTTTTGATAATACATTCCATCTCCATGGTATGCCAAGATCAATTGTTTGCGACAGAGACCCCCACATACATTCACCAGTAATTTTTGGGCAGAATTATTCCGGCTTTTAGCTCAGCCTATCATCCCCAAACAGAAGACCAAACAAAGGTGGTGAATTGGAATATTGAAATGGGTTAGGTGGTTAGCTTGGACAGAATATTGTAACATTACTAGCTAGTTGGCATTCGACTATTAAAAAAAACTCCATTTGAGGTAGCGTACGGTCGAGAGCCACCTAATTTGTTGAGCTACGTACATACCACGAACGGCAAAGGTGGCTGTCATGGAGGAGCCGAGTGAGAGAGATTTGATTTTGAAGGACTTAAAGGTGAACATTAAGGAAACTCAAGCGCATTGAGTCGGAAAGAAACTCGGTCAACTTAGCCCCTCTTTGTCTATCATATCTCAAATACTTACTTTTTTTCTAAAACTCAATTTTCAATTATGCATTCTCATAATAAAATATTTTGCATGTAAATACAAAATTTTTCCCTACTTTTTAACTACACATCCTTTAAAAAAAATAATAAAAAAATTACTATTTCAAAACTCACTTTTCTCCCAAAAAAAAAAAAAAAAGGGTACTCTTTTAATGGGTATCAAACAGGAATGTTTAAGATCAAACATTCCTAATTCTTCTTCCTCTTATACATTTCTATTTTCATGTTTCGAAAGAAATTTCAGTCTATTCTTCTAACAGAGTCCACCGAATAAACGAGTTTTATCAACTAATTTTTGCTCTCTTTCTTCGTTAAGCTATTCTAAACTTTTGTACAAGACATTCGACCAAAGTCAATAATAAGCTCAAATAAAGACAATTTGATGAAAGTCTTTTTCTAGAAATTTTCAAATGTAACATAGCATTCAGTGGGTGGAATAAACCATAATGTCGAAAAAATAAAATAAAAAATTGTAAATTGAATGTTGAATGAATAGTGTATAGGTTTTTCCA